ATTTTATTCTACTGTTCAGAATCAGGCACGCTCACATCTGAGTCCTGCAATCTCCAGAATGAAACTCAGCTATAAAGTCTGTAGCTTCCTGATAGACTAGTGATTTTCCTCACTCTTGGAGGTAGTACATAACACAAGTTTTGCCTCAAATAAGTGTTCACCTACATTATTTCTTCTGTCTGCTTAATGTCTGTAATGTCTGTAATCTTGAAAAAAGAAAATATGCATTTGTTATAGTGTAATCATGTTTCTGAGAAGTGAAATATATCCTAGTTATACTCTAGTATTTGTTTAACTGTGACTTAGCCTTTACTAAAATGAATATATATATCTATATTTATGGGAATTAATGGTGCAATGGAATTGATGTATTATTCTAGGTTGTGTATTCTCTGTACCCTGGTATGATTTAAAAATGAATTCTGCATTACTTTGTGGAGCTATGATTCTCTTGACAATAATATTAAAACACTCAGCACAATTCTTATTTCTATAGAAAAGTCTATCTCTTCAGATTTTCCCATGGGAGCAGTTTTGTACTCGTTTCTCCACTTATGTTTCTTTTAAACTAGAGTATCTCACTACATAACCATGAAATACTTGTTCAGTTATGGTGAGACCAGAATGGGCTCTCTACTAGTTCAGTACTTGGTGCAAGTCCCTGACAGCTAATTTGCAGCATGGCACAATACACTCTAGACATCTACTTTCTTTTAAAAGCTTTGAAAAAGTACAGAGCAAGAATACGATAACATTTTGGTTTAGTCACATCAGTCATATCTTTTCTGGCAACACTATTGATCAATATTCTCCTTCTGTCTTCAAGTAAACACCTGAAAACTTAACAAGGATACTCATTTAATGCAGTGAATCATCAATATAAACTTTACTGTTTATAGTTTATTTGCAAAAATAAATAACAAGGTTTTGATATGATACTTAGTTGGAGAAGCCAGAGCTACCCTGTGACAAGGGTTATTTATGTTAAAGCAGTAATAGTATGAAATTAAAATTTGCAATAGGAATCTAAGGGAAACCAACTACTACGTACTGGTCTTCAAAAAGGAAGTGAATAAGAATAAGCAGATCATTTTTCATTCTCTCAGTGAATGTTTTATGCCATCAGATTGCATATAATGTGCATGTTTTTAGCAATTAGTACAAGCAGAAGTTTTGTCAACGTCAAGCCATTTTCAGCTAATTGGTACTAACATACTTTGATGTTGTTGCATCTATGAGAGAGTTAAAGAATATGATAAGATTTACAGCAAGCCCTGCAATTTCTCTGAAAGCAAAATAGATTTTTCAAACGCTTACAACCACATCGCAGAAGCAAAAATTGCCTTTGAAATTACAACATTTGTTTCAAAGACCCATAAGGCTGACCAGGCTAATAATCCAAGAAGGAGCATGTGACGTAAAAACCTAAGTTTATTTAGATGTAATTAAATGTAACATTATATAGTTTTTTCTTTTTCTTACCAGATTTAACTCTGAATAGGATTAATTATCCTGTGTTAAAAACAATAAGCACATCTAGTATTATCAATCTTAAAGATCTTCAATAATTAGCATCTATATTATCAGTCATTTTCATTTAACCTGTACTGACATATTTTGTAAGTTCTCTGCATCATGTGAACAATCTACGTACTCGTTGAACTGATGAACTCTGTTTTCTCTCATTAGCCATTCTTTACTTGTCTCTTTCAGTGTCACGCTCTTCAAGTAAAACTTTGATGGTATGAAAATGATGAGAATTGAAATACTATATGCTACATTTAGTTTAATAATTTTGTTGACTTGTCTTTCTCAGTAGGAGAAGGATTACCAAAGCTTTTCAACAGTACCGTAGATAACCATATCATAATCATAGTTTTATGCCTGAAGCAAACTACTTTGAAAGGTTTACTTTTAAGCAAAAATAGGCAAAGTAAAAACCAAGCCCCTTATTTGAGGCAAAACCCAGTACTGAACAGTGTACATGCATTTAGTGTCTTTTTATTTGATATCAGAGTTAATTTATTTCATGAAAGTCTAACATTAGGATAATTTACCTGAAGATATTTAAAAATTTAAAAATAAATTTAACTATTAAAAGATTATAGGAAACTTTTGTAAGAATCTGTATATCTCTTCTATCTTTACAGGAATTCACTTTGAAAGACCTTGTCTTCTTGGGGCTGATACCTGGTGCTTCTTGGCACAGCCACATCTCTGCTTCACAGTGCTTAGGTCACTTATGTTCTCTGACATGCACGTTTAGCAGAGCGATGCACAGAGCCTGGAGAAGGATCACAGGTCAGCAGGAGAGAATTTTAAAAGCAGCACAAAGAAATTCCTCCTACTCCAGCTAGTAAGTCAGCTTCATGCAATGATACAGATTCTTCAGGAGAGATAGGTCATTTTTGCATCCTGCAAGGGGTTTACATACTCATTTCTGTCACTCTTCTGTGCTTTTTCAGTCTCACCTACATTAATTTTCCCACAGAAAATAATAAAATATGGTCTATTTCTAGACTTCTAAATATTCTCAGTTTGTTTTAGAGATTGCTACCTAACTTTTCTGAAGAGCTCCTCTCCAAAAAGCATGCATCATCACTGAGTGATTTCTCTACCTAATTGAGTATTCATTTGCTTTCTTTCCTCTGAGATTTAACACACATGAGAGTATGACTGCAAGGGCTAAAGACAGTTTCTCCATAAACATACCAAAGAGCAAAGTCACAACAGCTGAGAGAAGGGAAATCGTTTTCCCTACACTCTTATCCTGTGTTAGAACTGAGAGAAATTAGAATTGTAAGAGGAAAAACAAACGAACAACAAATATACAAAGAAAAGCACAGATGTTAGAAAGGGAGTAAATGTATTTCATCTATGACATCTAAGAAAATTAAAGCAAGTCATGCTTTTTGTGACCTGAAATTTGTTATAACTACAATTTAAATGTTGCGACAGGAGATTGATTTCTTCTTGAACTGTATATGTCAAAGAGAAAATGGTTCTTTCTCAGAAAAAGCTATTTTTTTGACAACTGTATTACTTCATAACATAAAAAGATTATCAAGAAGACTGCCAAACCTTTGGAGCTGAATTCACAAACATGAAGGGAAATGAAAGATTACTATAATAACGCCAAGATTGGGCAAGCAGACACCTGATGCTTTTTTGCTTGTTTTCGTAATACTTCAGAGCATATTTTTTCTAATACTTAGTTTTAGAAAATCTCCACAAGGATTTTCAAGTGTTTTCTTTTTTCATGATTTTTTGAAAATAATCAATTAATACTTTCTATTTGTGCATGGATCTTTTGCTGGGTGCTTCATAGGAAAAGACATGTTTTATACCGCTACTTTGTAATTTTTGTGTCTGACTTAAAATACAAACAAACAAACAAAAACAAGCAGAGTTATTTTTCAGAATGACTGGCTTTATTCTCTGTTTTTTTTTGCAGACATGTATGTGGACTGGTTTGAGTATAATGCCTCCTATTTTATGATGTTGGCTCATGTCAGAGGAAGATGTTTGTGGTATTGCAGTAGAGGTTCAACTTCCCACCAATATTCCATTACATATTGTTGCCACGTGACAGACAGCAGCAGAGGGGCAGTCTGACAAAATGATAGCTGGCATGGAAGAGTGTATGAAGCAAAGGTGTGAACATGAATTTCTCCAGACAGAAAAAAAATAAAAGCACCAAATGACATTTATTTTGTGAAGAATTAATTAACATATAACAAATAATTAATTAACAAATAACATTTATGGAGACCAGACACAGATGTAAGCACAGTGAGCCAGTGGGTGATGCATTTGTTTCAACAGTGGCGATAGAGTGTAAAAGACAAGCCACGTTCTGGACAGACATGCAGACTTTTATGAGTGTGGTATGCAGGCTCTTGTTCATTGCTGGCCAAAATGCATAGCTAATAGTGGTGACTACATTTTAAAAGAGTGTTTTGTAGCTGAGAATTTGCTCTACCAAATTGTGTTATCATGCTCTTTGTGTCTGTTATAAATTCTACAAAAGTAAATAGGAGGCATTACTTTCAGAGCAACCTATGAATATACATAATAGGATAAATTATCGTAAACAATAAGGGAAAGAAACATAAAATAAATCTAAGCATTGATTTTTAGACTTGGCTTGATAAAACATTACGTAATACAGAATACTTCAAAAAAATTGAGAAACATTTAGCAGTCTTCTCTGTATATTTTCTATATGATTGCGGAGTACAGATTCCTCAAGCTGTATGATTGACTGATTGAGGACTATGACTTGAAAAATATATAAACATCAGACTATTTTATGGTTAGTGCTTAGGGTTGCTATCGATCATTTAAAGTTATACAATTACTAACTCACTCTTCGAAAGAATCTGGAACACCTAAAAACAGTGTAGAATATAGCATATCTTTGTTCCCTGCATTTTCTCTTTGTTTAATAAGTAGACATTTCTATAACTTTAATGTAATTATTACCACTTAATCAAAGAACATGCCATGTGGTGTTACTGAAACAGCATTTGTGATAAACAGTAATCTTAAATAAAATTAGGGTCTCAGTGTTTATAAACCACATAGAATTTTTGTGTGATATTCAGTGACAGTATATTTCTTAAATTTTAAGAGCTACTGGCAAAACTGCCTTGATTTTGTTTCGGGATTTAGGGGAAGACTCCTCACTGATTCAGTAACCAAAATTATGAATGCACTTGTTTATAACTATAGATAAGAAACCAAGGCAGAAGTTTTCTGTGTGGCAAGACATAGTGAATGCCTTCTAGTTCCATAATTTTTCTGTTTCACATTGAGATGAACTGAACATTTTTTCTCCCTTGGTTTTCATCTGAAGATGACTGTTAAATCCAGAACAAACAGCTGTTTGTTGCCTGGCCTCATCAGTATGGTAGAATACACTTCTCTTTCTCTAATTTACTTAGGTCAAAACTTTCTTGATGTCTTCCATATTTCAGGTGAGAGCTAAAACCTCTGAAATGTCTTTTATTGTATATGACTACAAACAATTTCATAATGAGAAATCAGAATCTTAGTCTTCTCTTTTCCAGTTATGTAAGATTAAGCAGCAGATGACAGACAGTTACTGATTATAGAAAGGATCCAGGTTGCTCTTCAGTTTTGATTGGAAATTGCTCTATAAGAATATCATACGTACGCACGCAGGTACTCTAAATTTCTCTGGAATGTTCTATCTTCCTTTGATGTATTTACATACAGTGGCAAGATCTTCCCTGGGCCTTTTTTTATCTCCAGGGAACAGGTTAAGCTCCTTCTTTCCTCATGGGTGAGATGCTCCAGTCCTTTGTCATCTTCGTGGCCTTACACTGGACTCTTTCCAGTATGTTTCACTTGTACTGAGGGACCTGGAACTGGACAAGAAGAAGGACTGAGTTCTTGACTGTGAAACATTTATTCAGCAGCTGCATTTTTAAGTAAGTAGCCTTACTGATGATGTTTTGACTTCTCCTCAGTCAATGCACAATTTTTAAAAACTGTACATTTATTAACGTGTTCAATAAAGCCAGCCAGTCAGATCACTGGTGTCTCAGCTTGAAGTACTGCTAAACCTGTGCCACTGTTTTGCATAATGGCTGACATTAATCAACTAAATAGAGGATTAACTCTTGGTGGTTTTTTGTGTGTTTTTTTTTTTTTTTTTTGTCATTTGGAAATGAAAAATACTCATCCTAAATTGAGACTGGATTGATCATCCAGATATATTTCCCACCAGTAAGGAGCCTACTGTGGTTTCAGCACTCAAAATACTGATACTGAGTATTATTATATTTTCTTTCTAGCTTCCTATTTGAATGATTTTACATATTTCTGTGACTGAATAAAAAACTTAAAATCTAGCCATTATGAATTTGACATCATGTGATGAATTTTGTTTTGAGTGGCCATCTTCTTTGAGTTTTTGGCAGTCCTGTCATTTTATTGCAACATCAAGTCCCCACAGACTAATCAAATTCAGCATTCAGAATTCATTTTCTTATTAGGAGATGTATGCAATGAAAACATAAAAAATCAGGATAAAATAGAAAACTTTGTAGTACCCAATGTGATGTCAAGAACTCTGACTAACCTATGAGCTAGTAAGTTTCTAGGCTAAAGATGCTGCAGACTACTCACCAATGAACCATTAGATTTGCTGGATTTTTCAAGTATCTGTGCCATCTGAGATCTGTTTTTGAAAAAGTGATGTGACTTCCTTTATGGATAACATATCTTCATTATCTGTTGTTTTTGGCAAATAAATAAATAAATAAATCTTTGTTTATGATTCTTCTGATCTTTTCTGATGAAATACCTGATCTTTGTATACTTCTGAGAAGTATTGATTTTACAGTTCTGCATTTGCAAATAAAAAGCCCTACACACTTAGGAAGAGATCTGTAGCCAAACAATCATGGAAAATTTGACCCAATCATCAAAATGACACTTCATGTTTTGCTTTCTTCTACAGAATTACCTTACCATTCAGCTTTGATTGTCAATTAAGAGGCTGGAGGTAGCATGATTTCCTGGCTCGTTCTCTTCTGAAAACGGCATTTGGCATTTACTCTAGATTATGGTATGACATTCAAAGTTTTTAATTCTATTTAAATTAAAATGTCTTCACTAAGAAACAATTTTGCATAAGTAATTGACCTGTTATTAATTCTTCAGCATCTATTATTTTTTTGTTACACCCATAACATTAACTATAACCCAGATTTGTCAGAGTCAAAATGTGTGAAGCGATATACAAATATACAGTGCGAGATAAGCTTCTGTAAAAAGAGAAATAATTGGTGAATCAGTCAAGCTAGAACACAAAAGCACAAAAAGCAAATAAGAAAAGAAAAATTGAGTGAGTAGTAAAAGAACTCAGTAACTAGTGAAGGGATTAGAAATCAACTAACATGTCATATTCATATTTGAAGTTCTAACATATATCCTTTATATCAATCAGTATTTGCAGTGTAGTGTGTGTATACATACAAATGTATTTGCGCCTCTTGAATATTCCAGTTATATTGGTTATATGAACACTAAACAATTCAATAGCACTATCATTTAGCTTTCAGATATAATGACGAGGTAATAGACATCCCTAGTTATGAGAACATTTGAGTTTCTATGTCTAATTACAATTTTTTGAACTGTAGTCATGAAAAACTAATCATTGTGACAATAGGCTTCTGGAAATTATATTGTAGAAGTACAAAATGCAGGCAATTTAATGTTTGCTATGGTTCATCAAATTCTAACTCCTCATGCATAACTTGGTCACATTTATTTGTGCTCCACAGGGGTGTAACTCCAAAAGAGAAAGCTAGACCCAAAATGTGCTTCACAAAAAAATGTCGTTGCCTTGGCAACTAATACAGTATTAAATGTTCCAACAGGTATAATATCACACAACACTGAAACACATCGTTCTTGGTGCAGAAAATGTATGCAATTCAAGACTCCTACACTAGAAGTGAATGCAATGGATGCTTCTTTATTTTGCACCCCAAAATATTTGTTTGTCATTAAAAGTATTATCTCTGTCTGGCCTTGTTTAATAGATTTTTTTTCAGTATATTCCTTACCTAGTATATCACTCTTTTCTTTCCTTCCAACTATTTTTGTCCCATAATTTTCTGTATTCAAGGCTCTCATTCCCTATATTTTTCACTCTTTTCATTCACATGCATATCAGTTTCTCTCTTTATATGTGAGCGGAGGGAATTCTTAGAAAAATCTTTCTGTTTGAATTTCAGTTCCTTTGCATAGCCACACCAATTATCTTCAATTTAGCTTGAAGAGGAATTTTCAGTGCCTAACTATGAACTAGCTGGGAATAGTTTGTTGTGCCCAGAATCTCCTCATGCAGTGTTTGTTTACAAGCTCAGAACTTGGTCTCTGTCAGACACCTTGGCTCAAAGTGATTATTGAACAACATATGACGCAAGTAATATAATAGATTAAGATGATTCGGTGAATATAAAAATGGAAGGGTCTTACTAGAGGTGTAACTTCATGAATATGAAAGGCAGCTGGAACAGATATATTCTTTAAAACTTACTTACTCTACAGCCAGAAAAATCCACTGATCATAGAATTATTTGATTGGAAGGGTCCTTTAAAGATCATCCAGTACAACTACCTTGCAATAAACAGGGACATATATAGCTAGATCAGGTTGGTCAGAGCCCCGTCTAGCCCAACTTTGGATGTCTCCAAGGATGATGCAACCACCACATCTCTAGGCAACTTAATCCAGTGTATCACAGCCCATACCATAAAAAACCTTTTTCTTATGTCCAAACTAAATCTTCTCTCTTCTAGTTTGAAAGCATTTCCCTTCGTCCTATCATAACAGACTCCAATAAAATATCTCCTTCCTTCTCACAGCCCCCCTTCAGATACTGAAAGACTTCTATCTGGTCTTCTGAGAGCCCTGTTTTCTCCAAGGCACACAGCCCCAGCTCTCTCAGCCTGTCCTTGCAGAGAAGGCATTCCACGCCTTGGATCATTTTTGTGGCCCTCCTCTGGATGCACTCCAACAGTTAAAAAAGTAAGGCGGTTATGTTTCTCATATTGGTTGCCTAAAAGGCCTTTTAGGCCTTCTTTGTTAAGAATTTTCAGTTCCCTCCTAATTGTGTGCACTTCATGCATTGCACAGAGCTTTCTGCAAAGAAAACTGCACTTGAGACATGAGGTCCATATAATTGAAATATCTATTAGCTTTTAAAATACAGATTTTGGTGTTTTAAAGATTTTTAAGAATTGTTTTCTCATCAACAGTCTACATACATCCAGACTACTGTTTGTTTGGTTTTTTTTTTTCCTGATTCACTTCAACCTTTGTCTTTGCTTTAGGATTAACATTTTTTCCAACTATTTAATTCAGAATAGCTTTCTGATTCAAAGTCCAAGCTAAGAGCAAGATCCTCTTTATCTTCTATAATCTTTGGCTGCAGCTCAAACTTATATTGTCTTCAGTACACACAGTCTTAAGTAAGGATAATGCAAATATTTTGGATAATTATCAATGGGAATCACATTGTAAATTTGTTAGAGCCCATTAAAAATTAGTTAACATTTTTTATTTACACATGCTCAGATTCTCTTTATAGTCCAAACTAAAATGCCATGAAAAAGATAATTGTTATTTTTGCTAACTTCTTCAGTGTCCTAATATTCCAATGATCTCACTAACATACGAATCACTAAAAGGAGTTTGAAGTGAAAAATGAACCATTTCTCCTTAAAAAGCAAATTTACATAACAGTATTCCGCAGCTTTTCATAAAATGGAAAGCACCAAATAGCAGTTTTATGAAATGGTAAAAAAGTTGAGTTTCTCTTTGTCAATGGTTTTCAGGCTGGTTCGACCCGGTTCTGTGACAAGCGGGGCAGAGAGATTTGGCAAAACTCTATTCATTGACATAATTATCTTTTCTGAACAAAAACTGGGTGACAGAAATAAATTAGTCTTTTTTTCATTTCTGCTCACCTCTGACTAAAGGGAAACTATGAATGTTGTTTTAGTTTTTTAAATAAACGATTCATTAGAAGCTTCTATTTCATTCATATAAAGCCTCTATCATGTGTGGCTGTTTCTTTTAGAAGTATCTGTTTCTCAGCCTTTAAATACATTTTTATAGCAAAATATAATACACAGTCAAAGTGAAATGTGTGTAAACTTTTGTACATCTACTTTAATGCTCACCAATACTTTCAAAATAAAGAAGGCCTTCATACAATAAATAATCAAACATAATATGTCCATATATCATAGATGTTTATTGTTAAATGCCAAAATCTTTAAGTAGTCAATCAAAAACTGGATGATTTTCAGTACTGCTTGTCTTTGATTCAGTAACACTCAGAACCTGTGAAAATGATGCACTGCATAAGGATTTTTTTTTTTTTTTTTTTTTTTTTGAGGTTACTTATTTACCTCAAATTCCAACTCCTTTATGAAAAGAGCTTTCTTATTACTTTAAGCATCTGATTTGGATATTTTTGCTAAATTGTAAACACAAAATGTTATGGTTTTGCACAAAATAATAAACAAATCATTGAAACCAGATAGCCAGTAGGGCAGGGGAAGTGACTATCCCTCTATACTGTTCCCTCATGAGATTCCATTTGGAATATTGTGTCCAGGTCTGGGGTCTCCAGCAGAAGAAAGTTGTAGCTGTTGGAGCAGGCCTAGAGGAGGGACACAAAGATGTTCTGAGAGCTGGAGCACCTCTCCTGTGAAGGGATGCTCAGGGAGCTAGGCTTGCTCAGTCTAAAGAAGATAAGGCTCTGGGGAGACCCCACTGATGCCTTCCAGTACTTGAAATGAGCTTATAAACAGGAGAAGAACAGACTTTTTACCCAGTCTGATAGTGACAGGACAAGGAACAATGGTTTTAAACTAAAAGAGAGGAAGTTTACATTAGATGTTAGGAGGACATCTGTTATGTGAGGCACTATAACAGGCTGCCCAGAGAAGTTGTGGGTGCTCTATCCCCGGAGGTCTTCAAGGACAGGCTGGATGGGACCCAGAGCAGCTTGATCTAGTGAGTGGAGTCCACAGCAGGAGGTATGAAACTAGACGATATTTAAAGTCCCTTCCATCCTAAGCTGCTTCAAAGGTAATTTATTTCCATGGAAACTATAACAGATGCAAAGAGCAAAATAACAATATCTGATTGAGCAAATTCTCAGCTACAAAACCCTATTTTTCAAGACAACCACCAACATTAACTATGCATTTTCACCAGCACAAACAAAAGCCTGCATGCTGTGCTTGTAAAAATCTGCACCCATAGAGGAGAACAACTGTTGCTGCCACGACGACTGAAATATACCACCCACCATCTCACTGCGCTAAAATACACTGTTTATTCTCCAGAAAAATTCAGCATGCATCAATGAATGTCAGTGGGTGTTTTTTTTCTGCATGGAGGAATTGAATTGCACACCTTCCTTTCATATGCTCTTTCATGTTAGATATAAATTTGTCAGACTGCCTCTTTGCTGCCATTTGTCACATGGCAACAAAATACAATGGAATATTGTGGGAAGGTTCAATCTCTACTGTCACAACACAGCCTCTGACATTATGGTCCAGCATTATAAAATAGGAGGCATTATTTTTGGAGCATCGCTATATGATTTTATGATTCTACAGTAGTAACTTATGCAAAGAATTCTGTAGTGGGAAAACGTTTCTAGATTCTCAGATATCATTTCACATTCATACTTGTG